CAAAAATCAAGAAAAGTCAGCTTTGACAACTCAGACATATTTTCGTATTTTGACTATATCAGGAGCTACACAATGATCGGATCAAGGTGATCTTGGTACCATTTTGAAGCTAAGAGATATATCTACATTTGGTATGAAGACACCAAAGTCCAATTCATCCGTTTTCATAGTCCAAAAGTTGAAATACTGAAATTCAACTCAGCTGTCCAAAGTGGAAAACAGAGTTCCGACCAGTGTTTAGTATTTTGATCATATCTCAGTCTACAAAGCTCCGATTTGGATGATTCTTGAAGCATTGGAAAGCTAACTCAAAGATCTACAACTTTGGTGTTTTGTACAAAAGCCAGTTCGGCCTGCATCATGGAGGAAATCGCAGTTGAAGTAAGAACAAAGTGAAAACGCGAGTGCACAAAACGCGAGTTGTAGACGCGTTTTGTAAAGGCGCGTTTTCTGGCCGAAATTCTGCAATTTGCTCAGTCAATTCTCTTGTGTTCATACCACTTTCCAGCTATAAGTTGCAAGAAAATTCGGTGCACATGCTTCAGAAGACAAAAGGGCAGACAAGGTGGCTTATTTTCAAGTCAAAAACATTTGTTATTGACTATCCTAACAAAGTTGAGATTTGGGAATCAAAATGTGGAATTTGACTTGGAAAAATGGAGCTCTTAAGCAGTTTATATGCAGAGACATTTTGGGTGGTCTGAGAGGGGGAAATATACGGGAGAAGCTTGAAGAGTGCAGAAATGTAGTTCTTCCATTTCCTTAGTGTAGGATAGTGTAGTAAGTGTAGTTCATCCATTCTTGTATAATGGCTAGAATAGGATGAAAATGGAGATGAAGAAAGAGAAGTTGAAGCTCAAGTGACATGGGTTATCTCTTCTCCAACTCTTTATCTTTTGTATTGGATTCTTAAACATAGTTAATATGCAAGTTCTGGAATTTATGTCTATTATGTGTTTCTAAAGTTTATACCTTGGGTTTGGTTGAACCTTCTATGATTGTTAGTGCTTATTATTTGGCTATTTGACTGCTATGATTTGAGCAAATTATTTAGTACTTTAACTCTTTAAATCATGATTAATCTGGTACCATTAATTGTGATTATCTAAGGTGTTATTTCTGCAATGAAAATTGAGATTTAACATTAGTTCAAGAAGTGCTAAACATAGGGAGTACACTCACGAAAGTAGAGGTGCACCTATGTGGTTTTTAGTGATTCATTTCATGTAATTTCACTGAAGAAATAAACTTGTAGCTAATTTCATAACCATGAGAATAGGTATGGATTAGTTATAAGTATAATTGATTCACTACGAAAGTAGGATTCAAATGCATAAGGAAATTACACATAGCTAGCCTAGATGTAGTATTCAATGATCCAAATATAACACTTGCATGAGTAGTTAGGGATACCACAACCTAAGGAGCTTTTATTTGTTAATTTCTTGTATAAGTGCAGTAAGTTAAATTTCTTATCATTAATTGATAGTCTAAATAATAAAGAAACTTTAGTAATACCGGTAATTGTTCACTCTTCCCTGTGGGATCGACCCGATATATACCCTAAACTACTAGTTGATCTGTATACTTGCAGTGAACGGGTGTAATTCGGTATTTTTTAGCTTGCACGTATGTAAAATACCCGTCACTTAGGTCTGAAAAGGCTAGAAAATATTATTCGAATAAATGGGCAATTAAATATACAATGAGCTCGAAATAGGAATTTAAAATAATAAATTTTGCGAGTCCTCACAGGAGTCTAGTATTAATTCCTCAATTAACTTTTCTTAATCTACTATTGATCATTTTTAATTCTCCAATATTAATACACTCCTGATTCAAGTATAGCCTCGAAAACGTGTACTTGTTATTTCGAACTAAACGAATTTTTGAAAAGTGAATTTTCCAACAAAATGTTTTAAAATATAAAAGAGGCGTTGTTCCATATCAATGGATTTGTAAATGGTCGAAATGAATAATTCGGAGAAAATGAGTAAATAAATGCTTAAGTAAACTTGTAATATCCGATAAATAAGAAAATTTTTGGGTCCTTACAAATTCTATGAAAAAGAGATGGGTAGTTGGGAGCTTTTTAAGAGCTGGAGTCTGGAAAGTTGTTTTCAATATATATATATTTATTTATTTATTTATTTTCCACAACCAGAGGATTAAACCCTTGGATAACTACCTCTTCATGTACAAATATTAATCATGTGGTAAATTTTTGGGATAAGTGTAGGAGATTCCACTTATTTCAATTATTTCCCTTACATTTGGTAAACATATAGTTGTCCGATTGAGGCTATTTAGTGTTTGAGATTTGTTTCCAGTGGGATAGTGTACTAGCTCCTCAATTTGTAATGATATACGGTTGCAAAATGGTAAGCCATGCCTTTATTAGATTGTTTAAGGATCCAATTATGCCACTAAAATTTCTCTTTTCAATGGTAAGTTCTACATTAGTCTATGCCAACAAATTATATACTTCAAATTATGTGTCTTTCTAAAACATCAAGACATGTTTAGAATGGTTGCATCCTAAAGATATCAGGTTTACTCGTTAACAAGTACAAAAATGTTGAAGTAACTCTCTACATAACAATACCTTAAGTTTCAAAAAATAAGTAGTAGGATTTGCACGTGCATTATTTGTGCATTATGAAATCACAATTAGCTCTTTACAAGCATAAACTAAATGAATGGATTCTTGTTCTTTCCAGTTGTCACATGTTTGAATACTTGTCCAACTAATGTTGAACTTATTAAGTACACACTCATGGTTTTCAAATTTAATGTCAATTCAAAAATATCAAAAGAATTTTGAAAAAAAATAGAATATGGTCATCAAAAGTATGGAAATTTTATTAATAAAGTTAAATTAGATAAATTCATATTCAAAGGAATTGGTAACTATTCAATAATTATAAAAAATGGTGGGATGTGTGTCAACTTATTATAAAATCCCAAATAAACCGGTAATACAAAAGGTAAAATACAGAAAACCTCCTCGTGGTTTTGCCAAAAATCAATCGGACACCTTATGATTTTGAAATGTCCATATAATCCTCTTAAACTTTAAACAATATGGAATTTCACTTGTAACCTATATGTGACCTACAAGTGATGTATTATTATTATTATTATTTAATTTTTTTCTTTTTATATTTGGTGCTTAAATTCCTTTGCCTAAACTATCTTGGATGCTTTTACAAATTTTAAAATTTTTGAGATACTTATAAAATTTTTAGAAAGTATTCATCCCCCATCTTCTTTTTTCCTCCCCCCTCCTCCACCAGCTGCCACCATTACCCACCACCACCGTCTTCTCATATCTCTCTCTCTCTCTCCACTTCCCTTTCCCTCCTCCTCTTTCCCTTTCCCTCCCTCGTCCTCTCTCCTCTTCTCTCCACTACAAGAAATTTGGCCTTTTGTGACAACATTCTCTGTGACAACAGAGAAACTTGTCACAATTGAAAACTTTAGTGACGAGTTTTAATGTCGTCATAGTTGATCGTGGGTTCACCCGGCAACAGTGACAACATGGGATAAGTCGTCACAATATGGATGGCGCGCAACTAGCCAGTGTGGCGGGAGATCACCATTGTGACGACTGGAAAATAGGTTGTCATTGAAATTGGTCCTACAGTGATAACTTAAAATATCGTCACAATATAGTTGTCAGTTCTAAATTAGTGACAACAACTAGTCGTCACTGTCCAAAGTGTTTATTCCCAACTTACTTTCACTAATTCTACTATGTCACCCTAATTTTTTCAATATGGCATATATGTTGTAAATAAATTTTATTAATTCTACTATGACACCCTAATTTTTACATTTTAACCCCACATACCACTTTAATTTTTTCAATATGGCCCATATGTTGTAAATAAATTTTATTAATTCTACTATATGACACCCTAACTATTACATTTTAGCCCCATATGCCACCCTAATTTTTTCTATATGGCCCATATGCTGTAAATAAATTTAATTAATTATGTTATGACAACCGAACTTTTATATTTTAGCCCCGTATGTGGTAAACTAATCTCATTAACTCTACCATGACACCTTATCTTTTGCAATTTAGCCTCGTACGTGATAAACCAATTTTATTAATTCTATTATGGCACCCTATGCTTTACACTTTATTTTGTGTTTATCATTGGCAAAATAAGGAAGGTATTGTAAAAAAAATGTATACCTATTTTTTAATTATTCCAAATTTAGCTAATACCTTGTTATAAAGTTAAAAAATATCATGAATTCATTATTTAGTTCTCTTGACAACATATGGAAAATTACTGATTAACATAGTGTGAAAATAATGGCAAAGAATAATAAAATTTAATATGAAATTAAGTAAAAATCTTGACAATTGCATGACTGGCGTTTGTTATGTATTACAATTTACAATAATCAAATTTTTTATGGTGTATGAATCAGTACTTGTATCAAATAGATTTAGTGTTTCATGCATGTATTAGTAAACCATTTTGGTTATTTGATCAACTAAACAGATTGTTTGGTCTTGTCAAACCACAATTCGTGCATAATTGATAAAATTATTAAATTGATACCAAAAATATTTACATTAAAAGGTCTTTTTTTGAATCATAAATATATTTTTAATAAGCCTTTTAGTTTTTGAACATTATTTTTTGTAGAGATCCTAAAAAACCTATGTTAGAAAAAAAAGAAAAAAAAAAAAAACTAAATTTTCATATTCCAAAGTTTTAATATAACTTGTGAAATGAAAAAGCTCAACATAATAAACAATGTTAATTACACAAAGATTGGGAAAAGAAAAAGAGATAGAAGGCGTTACTTTTATTAAAAAAGGTTCAACAATTTAGAGACAACGCGTATTTTTTAGTGTGCAATAGTGGAAGCGGGAAGCTGAAAATTGAAAGAGTAGAGGCGGGGTTCTAAAAGAAGCAGAAACGACGTCATTTAAAGTTGATTTGGAAGAAAAACACTCAACACTTGGCCAAATTTCAGACAAAACTCATTTCCCTCTTTCTTTGCCTTCGGACACCATCTTCCCAACTCCCTTTTCCCTCTCCAAAAGCCGCTTCCTCTAAAGCCCTTTTCCACACTGCTTCCTTCTCCTCCTCCTTACTATCATCATCATCATCATCGCCCAATTCCAACTCCTGCAGTTTCGTTTATTAACCCCCAAAATCACCACTCCATTATTATCTCAAACGCCCACATTCCCCACCACCCCTCAACAACCCATTTGGCTTTTCCCATTCCCTCAATTCTTCACTGTTTCTCCTCAACTCATTCTTCTCCACCTCAACCTTCTTCCGCATTTTCTCTGACCAAAAAGCTAAATCTTTCCACTGGAATTACGCTCTTGATGGAATTCACCCTAGAGAAAATGGGGTCATCGGGGATAAAGGGCCAATCTTTGCTGCAGTTTTGTTGGATGGCTTGGGTCGAATCCGAAGCATCTGAGGAGGTATGGTTCCATTCTTGAGAATTTGCAAAGTAGGCCAGATTTATTGGAGAAAATCAAGGGAATTATTGTTGATTCAGGAGGTGACTGATAAGTGACTAATTTACGTAATAATTTTATAATATTTTATATTATTTTTAGTCACTTTAGTTATATTATTGGAAGAAAATGAATCATTTTGGCTATAATTGGTGAAAAATGCTTTTAAATGATTAAATGAGGTTTTTATCACTTTTTAGTGGGATTTTGTGTATTTTGACAGTTTTGACACATTTTCGTATTTCGGCCATAACTTGAGATACAGTGATCGGATTAAGATGATTCTTGAACCAATTTGAAGATAAGAGATATATCTATAACTTTGGTGAAGACATCTGAATCCAGTTTGAAGGTTTTCCAGGTCAAAAAGCCGAAGTACAGAGTCAATTGTTATTGGTCGAAACTGGAACAAAGCATGGAGCAGGCACGGGTATTTCGGTCATATCTCAGCCTACACAGATCCAAATGAGGTGATTCTTGATGCATTGGAAAGATAACTCAAAAGTCTACAACTTTCATGTTTTAGACATGAACTGGTTCAGCCTCTAACATCAAGAAAAGATCGGTTGAAGTTGAGCCAAAAATAGAGCAAGTGATCCACACTCGGATCCACTATTCATCCGAACCCTCGGCTGTTTCTGGGTTAGTGGAACCGAGCTCGGATCCATACGGATCCAAGGTACTGTATCAGCTCGGATCACTGTAGCAGCCCAGAGTCAGAAAAGGCTGCTATGTACGCGTAAAACTCAATTGACAGGTGTCGAACCTGTGCAATAATAATTACTAAAAAGTCCTAATTACCACCTCAATTAAATAATTATAGAACAAATCCAAGTACTGGAGCAGGGACCCTAGGTGTGTAATGGGTTACTTGATTCACCCTGTTCTCGAAGAGTTTGCTTGATCCGATATACCGGGTTTGTCTATAAAAATACTAATTTTGCGTACAATGGCAAGTAGGGTCGATTCCACAGGGAGCAGGTAGGAAATTATTTCTTTCCAAATCAGTAGAACAAAATTGGGGGATTTTCAATGGGAAGCAAATGAAAATAAGAATAAAATAAAGCCAACAAAATTCAAAACTAATTCACAAAGCACAATTTACTAAAAATAGCAATTAATAAAAGTTCTACCCAAAGGATCAACTGCTCAGGCAGGGTCCAATTAAATGATCATCGATGCAAAGATATTTCATCCATTTATCACTAGGTTGATTATAGCCATCAATAAGCTCTGACAACCAGCTCTTCCTTACTTTTTCGACAGTCAAGGTACGACCATTGACTGCTTCTCTAACCAGATAACAACCCTAGGTACGACCGTAGGAATTTAATTATCCAATTGCATTAAACCTAGAAGAACCCAACCCTAACCAATAAACACGCTAAGAGGGTTTATTTAAATTAGATCTTGCGTTTCCCCATCATAAAACCAATTGTGGTGGTTGCCACGAGGTGTTAACTAAATGAACAATTACGGATTCTATTTAATTAACGTGGCAGTAGGCTATTAAATTAAATCAAATACCCGGCCGTTGATATTCAATTAATAAAATACCCATGAACAATTAATTCAGGAAACGCACGAATAGCAATAAATTGGAAGAAATAATGAAGATTCGATTAGATCTCACAGATATTATGGACCGCGCCTTCGCGTCAACCTTTGGGTAGAGGAGAAAATTAGCCGCTCCTCATCGTATCAACCTTGCGCGAATTAATTAATTTCATCCACGCAGACATCGAAGAATCTGGAACAGTGAAGTACGAAGAAAGAAAAAAGAAAGCGTCTTCCTTATCTCTGCGTTGGCAATCGTACTGAATCCCCAAATTCAATGCCAAAGCCCCCACGAATTGTACAGATCCGAAGACTAAAGTGAAAGAGTCAAACGTAAAAGACAAAAGCAAGGGGAAGAAAAGTCTTTTTCGTCAGACCCATTCGGCCTAAAATAAGAAAAGTTTAAGCTATCTAATCTCCTATGCAATTGCTGCCGGAGAAGAGAACAAAAGCCAAGAAAAAGGGCGTCTGACCCCAAAAGTAGAAAAAGAAAACTAAAGCCTAAAGTAGATGATGTCCTGAATCTGTCTTTTTCCTATATTTTTATAGCCGCCGCAGGAGGTCAAGCAACCAAAAAAAACGTCTGGCCCAATTCCTTGATACAAAGGGACTTTTAGAGTTTTAATCCCGTGCTCCTCGCGGTTCACGTGGACCGCAGTCCGGCTTTCGGTTTCGTCCACCTTCCAAGGCGTGGCCACGCTCTGAAATGAAAGGTCTTCTGGAAATTTGCCTCGCGAGATCATTTTTTATGCCGACCACCTACAATTCACACAAATGTCGAATATGAGTGAAATTCCAGTTCTTAGCACCGTGAATAGTCAAAATTAGGACAAAATAACAGTGCAAAATACGCCAAATAACCGTTCTATCAAATCCCCCACACCTAGACAATGCTTGCCCTCAAGCATTTCGGAGCTCAGAAGTACAACCAAGAGAGCAGAGGTCATGTAGTAGTCTATACTAACACAAGCATCTAGAGTCCCTGACAATATCACCAAAGGTAGAACACACCGGACATGTTGTAATTCAAAAAATATATATGAATACTAGGAACGCTCAATTCAACAGCACGGAATGCCATTACCATAGGCTTGCACATTTATCACATCTCCACCACTTAAAAGTGAACCAAACACATAAATCAAAGGGACTTTAATAGGGTTGTAATGGGGCTCAGGTGAAAGGCGGGTTAAGAAGGTATAGATAGGGGGAAAAGTGTCAAGAGAATGTCCGAAACTCACCAATAACCACAGTGCTTTATTGGAGGAGTTTCACTAACAAGGCAATTTTCATTTGTTGTGCCCATTGTACAAGTGCCCCCAATTTTCCTCTTTCTCTTTTTTTTTTTTTTTAATACTGCTCGCAAGGCGTGGGCACGCCTTGTAGCCCATAGTCCTCTGGTCACGAGGTCTCTTCAGGAATTTTTTTTTTTTTCAAGAGACAGTCCTGTAAGGCGTGGGCACGCCCTGTAAGCCAAAGTTCTCTGGTCAGTGGCCTTTTTCCAATTTCCCCTCCTTTACACAAGGATAGTATCATATAGCTCCTAATCTATCAGCACTTGCAACCCCATTTCTGTTTGCTTTGTACAAATGATGGAATTCAGGCATCCCTTGACAACACAGGGGTAAACAAGAAAGTTTAAAGAGGTTTTGGGTTAACAAACACGGATATCAACCAGAAACGAAGGACAAAAGCTCAAATTAGTTCACTATTGGGAGATAAGATGAGGGCTTGATTTTTTAGATAGCTGAAGAGGGTTAAATCCTAAATGCCCTTATCATTTCAAATGCATCCAATTCAACAAAAATGTGGCCTCGACATGCATAAACTAGCAAGTTCTAGAATGCCAATACCATGAGTGATACCCACTCAATCAAACAAAATAGAGCAAACAAGAATAATATGCTCAAGCAAGGCTCAAAAACTCCCCAAAAGTTACAAGAATGGGTCAATTCCTGCATATTCAACATTCAACGACATTGCCAAGGGAAGCAAAATGCACAGCTAGCATATCCGACAACATACCCACTCACTTTGATTATGTCATTCATCACAGTAACATACCCCAACACTAACAAGCATATAAATAACCAAAAAGCCGACTAACTACAATGTTTTTCATTTTTTTTTCATTCATCCCATGTTTTCATTTTTTTTTTTGAAAAACAAAGCAAAAAGAACTAATGGAAGCCACTCCCCCCACACCTAAGACCTACATTGTCCTCAATGTAGAAGAGACAAAATAAAGTAATAGGAGGAAAGAAGAGAAACTTTCCTGGCTCCGGGGAGGGAAAATGAGATACTAAGGCGGAGGGGGGTGAGACGGCTGCGTGCACAAGGTGGTGTGGTGGCGGCGGACGCAACACCAACAGGAAGGAGAAGACTGAAGTTTCTTTTTCGGAAGGGTTGGAAGGCGTGGGCACGCCTTAGAAGTTATAGTCGTCTGACCGTCAATTCCAAAACTCCATTCCTTAGGTGTGATGACCTAGCATGGGCATGTCTAGCTGCCAACTCCTGTCACAAAATAACAACCCACTAAATGACACTAACACTTAACAAAAACTTCAAAAATATAAGAAAACTAAAACAAAAGAAGCCTTGGGTTGCCTCCCAAGTAGCGCCTTTCTTTAATGTCTTTGGTTAGACACAACACCACTCTTTAGTTTGGATGTAATTGAATTTTCCTTGTAATTGGTGGCCCTCCTCCAGGATCCACATGGCCATTGAGTGCAACTTTTTTCCTAAATTTTCTCTCCATTTTTACCTCATGAATTGCTTTCATCCTATAGGACTTGTTCGCAACAACCTTGGATTTACCCCTATAAGCAAACTTAGAAAATTCTTGCACAGAGGGATTAGTGGTATACATAGCAAACACAGAATGAGAGTTAACAGGATGTTTCATTGTATCAAAAATATTAAAGTGGACTATTTCTCCATCAAATTCCATCGTGAGAGTACCCTTACTAACGTCAATTTTAGTCTGGGCAGTACTCAAAAATGGTCTTCCTAATATAATGGGTGATGGATTTGGGGCACTTCTATCATCCATGTAAAGCACATAAAAATCAGCAGGAAAAATTAATCCATCTACTTGCACTAAAACATCCTCAACTATCCCATCCGGATAAGCACATGTACGATCAGCCAATTGAATTACTATCCCCGTTTCTTTTAAAGGTCCTAAATTTAGGGAATCATAGATTGACTTAGGCATCACATTAATAGAAGCTCCTAAATCTATAATGGCATTTTTGATACTAGAATGACCAATCTTACAGGGGATAGCAAACATACCTGGATCTCTGCATTTGGGTGGGAGTTTCCTTTGAAGTACAGCTGATACATTCTCTCATACCATCACTCTTTCATCACCCCTTAGCTTTCTTTTGTTAACGCACAAGTCTTTCAAGAACTTTGCGTACTTGGGTACCTGCTTGATCGCGTCCAATAGGGGGATGTTTACTTGAACTTTGTGGAACACATCCAGGATTTCTCTTTCCTTTTCTGCCCTCTTTGTCTTTTCCAACTTGCAAGGAAATGGAGCTAGATTAGATTTAATAGGGATCGAAGGAATAGATGTTACCTTAGACTCTTCGCGAATGCGCCCTTCCTCTTCAATTCCCTTTTCTATCTGCTCTTCACTTTTGATTTTCGAAATCGTCAACTTAGATCCCTCCACCTCCTTGCCACTCCTTAATGTCATGGCACTTACATTTTTGGGGTTTACCTCAGGTTGCGATGGCAATTTCCTATAGACGTGGGACTCCAGGCGATTAATGGCAGTTGCCATTTGACTCATGCGAGTCTCCATGTCCTTCATGCCTGCTTTGGTGTCATGTTGGAATTGAGTAGTACTTGCAACTAAGGACCTAGTCTCCTGCTGGAGCTGAGTGGTGGTCGTGACGAGTTGAGTGGTAGTTGTGGCCAAACTCTTGACAATTTCTTCCAAAGAACTCCCTGAGCTTGAGGACGAGGGTTGAGACTTATGTTGCCAAGGTTGCTGAAAACCTGGAGGCCGATTGGAGAATGCATTTTGTGGCCTACTACCATAGCTGAGATTGGGGTGATCTCTCCAACCCGGATTGTACGTGTTGGAGTATGGATCGTACTGCCTACGAGGCGCGGGCACGCCTCCAGCCATGTTCACTTGTTCGGCCTCATCCTCTCGCAACATAGGGCATGAGTCGGTATGGTGACCCATATTTGTGCAGATTCCACAGGCCTTTACTTGGGGCATATTTCCCACCACTAATTGTCGAACAACGGATGTTAGTTCCGACAATTGTTGCTGAATAGATGACGTCTCCACCTCGTTGACCCTACGGGTAGGGTTAGTCTCACGGAAGCCAAACTGTTGAGAATTCTCCGCCATCGACTCAATGAGCAGCCACGCTTCCCTCGGGGTCTTATTTACCAACGCTCCCCCGCTTGCAGCATCTATAATACTCCTATCAGTTGATTGGAGTCCTTCATAGAAGTATTGGATTAACAGTTGTTCACTAATTTGATGCTGCGGGCATCTAGTGCACAACTTGTTAAACCTTTCCAATAATCATACAAGGATTCCCCGGGATACTGTTTAATGTTACAGATTTCCTTCCTCAAACTCGCAGCCCGGGATGCAGGGAAGAATTTTTTCAAAAACTTCTTTTTCAACTGTGCCAATGTGGTAATACTACCTGCTGGTAGGTAGTACAACCAATCTTTAGCCGCATCCTTGAGAGAGAACGGAAAGGCTCTCAGTCTAATTTGCTCTTCAGTGACCCCAGGAGGTTTCATACTAATGCAAACCACCTCGAACTCCTTAACGTGCTTGTAGGGTTCTTCGCCAGAGAGACCATGGAAAGAAGGTAAGAGTTGAATCAGCCCCGACTTCAGTTCGAAAGCAGTATTCTCAGCCAAAGTAGGGAATGTGATGCATAAGGGCTGGTGAGTCAGCTCCGGAGCAGCCAACTCCCTTAATGTTTGGGTGTTGGCCATGCTTACTTCGTCTTCCACTGACTCGTTTGCAGCAAATAAGTGCCCTCCTTTTTGTCTCTTGGTCTCTTGCCTCCGCCTACGCGCTGCCTTCTCAACCTCAGGATCGTATAACAATTCACCTGTGCGAGAAGAACGGAGCATAAACTAGCAAAAATACCAAGAAGAATAAAATAAAATAAAAACTGAATTTGAAAAGAAACAAATAATCCAAATGCCTGCTCCCGGCAACGGCGCCAAAAATTGACAGGTGCCGAACCTGTGCAATAATAATTACTAAAAAGTCCTAATTACCACCTCAATTAAATAATTATAGAACAAATCCAAGTACTGGAGCAGGGACCCTAGGTGTGTAATGGGTTACTTGATTCACCCTGTTCTCGAAGAGTTTGCTTAATCCGATATACCGGGTTTGTCTATAAAAATACTAATTTTGCGTACAATGGCAAGTAGGGTCGATTCCACAGGGAGCAGGTAGGAAATTATTTCTTTCCAAATCAGTAGAACAAAATTGGGGATTTTCAATGGGAAGCAAATGAAAATAAGAATAAAATAAAGCCAACAAAATTCAAAACTAATTCACAAAGCACAATTTACTAAAAATAGCAATTAATAAAAGTTCTACCCAAAGGATCAACTGCTCACGCACGGTCCAATTAAATGATCATCGATGCAAAGATATTTCATCCATTTATCACTAGGTTGGTTATAGCCATCAATAAGCTCTGACAACCAACTCTTCCTTACTTTTTTGACAGTCAAGGTACGACCATTGACTGCTTCTTTAACCAGATAACAACCCTAGTACGACCGTAGGAATTTAATTATCCAATTGCATTAAACCTAGAAGAACCCAACCCTAACCAATAAACACGCTAAGAGGATTTATTTAAATTAGATCTTGCGTTTCCCCATCATAAAATCAATTATGGTGGTTGCCACGAGGTGTTAACTAAATGAACAATTACGGATTCTATTTAATTAACGTGGCAGTAGGCTATTAAATTAAATCAAATACCCGGCCGTTGATATTCAATTAATAAAATACCCATGAACAATTAATTCAGGAAACGCACGAATAGCAATAAATTGGAAGAAATAATGAAGATTCGATTAGATCTCACAGATATTATGGACCGCGCCTTCGCGTCAACCTTTGAGTAGAGGAGAAAATTAGCCGCTCCTCATCGTATCAACCTTGCGCGAATTAATTAATTTCATCCACGCAGACATCGAAGAATCTGGAACAGTGAAGTACGAAGAAAGAAAAAAGAAAGCGTCTTCCTTATCTCTGCGTTGGCAATCGTACTGAATCCCCAAATTCAATGCCAAAGCCCCCACGAATTGTACAGATCCGAAGACTAAAGTGAAAGAGTCAAACGTAAAGGACAAAAGCAAGGGGAAGAAAAGTCTTTTTCGTCAGACCCATTCGGCCTAAAATAAGAAAAGTTTAAGCTATCTAATCTCCTATGCAATTGCTGCCGGAGAAGAGAACAAAAGCAAGAAAAAGGGCGCCTGACCCCAAAAGTAGAAAAAGAAAACTAAAGCCTAAAGTAGATGATGTCCCGAATCTGTCTTTTTCCTATCTTTTTATAGCCGCCGCAGGAGGTCAAGCAACCAAAAAAAACGTCTGGCCCAATTCCTTGAAACAAAGGGACTTTTAGAGTTTTAATCCCGTGCTCCTCGCGGTTCACGTGGACCGCAGTCCGGCTTTCGGTTTCGTCCACCTTCCAAGGCGTGGCCACGCTCTGAAATGAAAGGTCTTCTGGAAATTTGCCTCGTGAGATCATTTTTTATGCCGACCACCTACAATTCACACAAATGTCGAATATGAGTGAAATTCCAGTTCTTAGCACCGTGAATAGTCAAAATTAGGACAAAATAACAGTGTAAAATACGCCAAATAACCGTTGTATCAGTACTGTATCAACTCGGATCACTGTAGCAGCCCAGAGTCAGAAAAGGCTGCTATGTACGCGTAAAACTCAATTTCACCTCCACCAACTCACATGTGATGCTAGACATGTGAGAAACATTACCAGCTGTAAGGAGAAAGTGTAAAGCTTCATTCCTTGACCAACTTTCATCATAAAATAGCCAAATTCATTAAAAAGGAGAGAGGGAGTCCATAGGAGAAAAAAAGAGAGAGAGATACGGGAGAAGCTTGAAGTTACAGAAATGTAGCTCTTTCATCTCCCTAGTGTTAGTTTAGCTTAGTATAGAGTAGTGTAGCTTTTTCCATTCTTGTTTATTATCTAGATTAGGATGAAGATGGAGGATGAAGAAGGCAAGGAAGAAAGCTCAAGTGACAAGGGTTGTATTCCTTCCAAACTCTTTATCTTTTGTATTTGATTCCAAGTTTAGTTAATATACAAGTTCTGGATTTTGTGTTCATTATGTGGTTCTAAAGTTTATACCTTGGGTTTGGTTGAACTTTCTATGATTGTTAGTGTTAATTATTTGGTTATTTGATTTCTACGATTTGAGCAAGTTATTTAGCACTTTGGCTCTTTAAAAATGATTAATTTGGTACATTAATTGTGATTATCTAAGGTGTTGTTTCTGTAATGGAAATTGAGATTTAACACTAGTTCAAGAAGTGCTAAACAGAGGGAGTACACTCACGAAAGTAGAGGTGCATCTATGTGGTTTTTAGTGATTCATTTCATGTAATTTCATTGAAGAAAATGAACTTGTAGCTAATTTCATAACCATGAGAATAGGTATGTTAGTTATAAGTATATTGATTCACTACGAAAGTAGGATTCAAATGCATAAGAAATTACACTATAACTAGCCTAGATGTAGTAATTAATGATCCAAATATAGCACTTGCATGAGTAGTTAGGGATACCACCTAAGGAGCTTTCATTTGTTATTTTCTTGTATAATTTTAGCAGGTTTTAATTTGTTATAATTCATTGATAGTCTAAATAATAGAGAAGCTTTAGTAGTACCGGTAATTGCAATCTTCCTTGTGGGATCGACCCTTAATACCCTATACTCGTTCACGATTCGTATACTTGCGATAAATCGCGTGGGGTATTTAGGAGTTTATAAATGTAAAATTTGATTAGGATGAGATTAATTGTATATGTATACTCCGCGTCAAGTTTTTGGCGCCGTTGCCGGGGAAGATTTGGCAATATCGATGTGAAAAGCAACTTTATTAATTTAGACAATTTCACTTGTTTTTGTTGGTTAAGTGTCTTGTTTGTTTTGAGTCTTGTTGAGTCTTTTATGTTTAATGTCTTGTTTTTGTATGTTTAAGGTCATCTATTCTTCTTGACTAAACTTGTTTTTGAGCTACTTTGAGAGCATGTTTAGGGATCAAGGAGAGTAGAAAATAGGGGGGACAATGCTTGAGAAATGGAGGTTTGACAATGGATGGTTACCAAGTGCAAAGCTCCTTCAACAGAGGTAACCAAGAATTTACTAAATGTATGTCTTTTGAAGATGGTTTAAGGTGCTTAAAGGCAAAATTTGATGTAATTAAGTTACAAGTTCAAATGGACACCATGATGCATGAAATTGAGCAGAGGAGGAATGTTAATGTTTTTAATTCTTATCATGTGATTTGTGACTTGTGTGGAGGTTATCATGCTACTAATACATGTATGCAAGCACAAAGTATGGATTATTATGATGAATTAGAGCATTACAATCCTTGTTTTGATCAATACAGTGCTAATTGGAGCAATTCTCCTGCTTATGGTTGGCAAAATCAATGTGCATATAGTGATTATCCGTATTTTTATGATTACCAACCTGAAAGTGTCCAATATGAATCAAAACCATCTTGGGAGTTGGCAATAGAAAGGTTAGCTAATGCACCTCTACTTTGGGAGTTAGAAAGTGAACTATTAGCTAATGATTCTAATGCATCTTGGGAGCTAGCTGTAGAAAATTTTTCTAATCAATTTGATTTAGCATTAGAAAAGCTAGCAAATGTAACTTCCGACCGTTTTGATAGGATTGAGGAAAGAATAGATGAATTAGCTTCTTACTTTGGTAGAATACATGAGCAATTGAATGCATTGTGTGAAGTTATTTCCTCTAATAATTTGCAAAATGATCCTAGCATGAATGGTGGGAATGTTGTATGTGAAAATGGGTTGCATTTTGCTGAAAATGATGAATCTCAATTGTGTTTCAATGAGCAAATGTCCATTTCACATGTAATATCTTTGGAACTAACTTTGAGCCTCAAGAGGTGAGTTTTAAGGACTCATTTTTCACCCCTCTTGAGGAGTGCATTGAAAGTATAGGTTCTAAAGGTATTCCTGCCCAAGATACTCTCATGACATTTCCTTTGGTAAGTTCTCAAGTGGTGCATGTTCAAGGTAATATCTATGAAACACTTGGAATATGTAAGTCACTTCCATCTCTCACATC